GAATCCAGGAGGCAGTGGGTTGGGAAGTGAGTGTAAGCTTGGAGCGGGGTAGGAAGAAGGGTGCTTTGCCTAAGGATGACATTTTCCCAGGGTGGGGTTTCTTTTTAGTTTTCTGGACTGAATTCTTGGAAACAAGAACTACATGGAACAGCTAAGTGACTGTCCAGCCACATTGTCACCACTCAAATTCCTCCTGCCTGGCATCAGAAGCTCACACCCTGGTGTCTTATGTGGAAAGCCCTCCATGGCAATAGCTGTATTGAGGATCTGGCAGATCCTTAATGCATTGCAGCTCCAAGAACCAGGGACAAATTGAGACCATCCTTGTGGCAGGAGATGGTCAGAAAGAGCCTGCAAAGGTTAAGAACACAAACAGTGCACTGGGGGCAGAGAACAGGCATGTCCATAACCCTTTATCCTGGACACTTTGACCCTATAATGCAGTTTAAAGCCATTCTAGGACACTTCTTGAAAGGCAAAATTAGCGACCAGCCTCCTAGAATACAGATGCTTGGGAAGTAAAAGACAGGAGAACAATAAGCCATTCACCAGCCTGTACCAGGGAGGACAACAGAAAGCCTGATTTCCCCAGGTATATTATATGAAGCTACAATGTTTTCTGGGTGCAGAGAGATCCTCAGCAGCTGGATGAATGCCTAAGATGAAAAATCTATTCACCCTCTTCAACAGTTCAGTCACAAATTGTAAGCAGGAGGTGCTTACAAATATTTGGATATTAGGTGCGAGGGGGTTGCTGGTGATACTGGGAAATCACTGGGCACATTTCCAACCTTCTGGGAAGGGAAAAACAACCTCTGGCTCACAGGCTCCAGGCTCAGTGCCCCACTGGGATTTCAGGTCCTCCCACACCGCAGCCTGTGGGCTTGGGGCTGCCGACAGGCATTAACTGTGCTTGGAAGCATCTGTCAGCCCCAGCACGATGTGATAACAGACACTCAAACGAAGCAGCATCGTTATGTGCGAGCCCTCCGACGGGGAGCCAAGCATGCTGCAGATCAAACAGCGATGACATGTGTCAGAGCCCTGTACTCCCTCTCCGAAAAGCCTTTGTGGAGAAACAGATCCTGCGGCATTTCTCTGCCAGATGCTGCTGGGGAGAGGGCAAGGCAGAAAATATCAGTGATGGGGGGTGAGGATGCAGGTCTCGTGCCACCTCGGCACTTGTACAACTCCAGACTGCAGAAACCTGCTGTTTGTTACTGCAGCAAATCACTTGTGAGGTTGTGGACAAATGTCTTAATTTTGCAAAGAAACTTGTGTTCCCTGGAAAGAATAACTGTAATGTAATGTGAGCAGATGTCTCTGTACCAAGGGGAACCAAGACAGTTTCTGAAGTATTGGATGGAAGCTGCTCTCTTTCTGCCAGGAGCTGACCACAAGGGAAGACAGCATGTGGCTGCAGGAGGATGTAAGCTATTAACTCTCAGCTTTGTACTTGGTTACTCGAGCAGAGGACCATTTCCTTCCATGAGCTCTGATGCTGCCGAACTAGAGCAGAGACAGCCAAAAACCCCTGAAAAACCAGCCTGGGACACCTGAGTCTCCTGCAAAGGGGATCAGCATCCACTGCTCTACCGTGCAGCTGGTAGGAGTGAGAGGCCATTCCTCTGGAACCCAGCAAAGTGCAACGGCTGGGAAAAAGCCGATCTGATGATCGGAAGGGGCAGAAATCTGTCAGCACCCACAGCGAGAGGGGTCCCGGTGTCCTGTGTCTGTCTGTCTGTCCACACTCTGCAGGAAGGGGTGCTCTCAGAGCCTGAGGCTGGGGACGGAGCAGCTGAGCTGTATCTGTCAGGCAGAGGGATTTCAGGCTTGCTGAGGGTGTGATTTTGGAGCTTCACCTCCTGGACACTCCAACCCCGCGGGCACTGCACCAAAGTGATGTCCTCACCAGGTACCTGCACACCAGGACTCCCCTTTGGCTCTCATCATCGCTCCCTCCAGCTCCGCTTCATCCCACCGCCTGGTGCTGCTTTCTGTAAGCCCTGCAGCCACCAGGCATCCATGGTGGGGCTGGGCTCTCACAGGGGAACATGCCTGCAAGAAACTCACAGTTCCAGAAAGGAGGAGGTGAGCATGAAGCAGCCACAGCCCAGGGCTCCCACCAGCACCTTTGTTCCCAGCTAGAACAATATTTGAGTACAGCAGAATGAGAAGGGAAATGAATGCACAGAAATCAGGCCGAGGGTTTCTGCAGCCTGGCCAGATGATCTTTAAGCAGCCAGGCACACTTCAGAAGTTGTCCATCACTTCCCAGTAGAGTAGAGTTTTTTCTGAAGGCACGACTTTACCCAAGGGCCCTGCCTCCTCAAACACTGTCTGAATATGGGATGAAGAAGCACAGGCTGATGGTGAAGTGGAAAGAAACCACTTCTAGTGGTGGTAGCCACAAGGGCCTGAGCGAGGGTGAGATAATACACTGCCTTAGGCCAGCCAATATCACTCCGTTAAAGGGGAAGAGGCAAGCCTGTGGTCAGATGAGAAGTGAGGAAATGCTTGGCTGCTGAAAGCTAGCCCAGTTCTTTCAACTCTTTCCATTTATCATACAAAAGGCATTATCTCTCTGAGAAACCCTGCCTTGCTGAACTCCTTTGCAGCTTTCAGGACTCACAGACATTTCTGGAGACCTTGGACTGGCTCCACGGAAGAATCTCAGCCCCAGCTGGACCCCAGGCATCTCCCCACACCTGCAGTGGGCACAGCGTGTGCAGTGGTGAGGGTGGCTGTGGTGCGTCTGCTTGCTCTGGGTTTTCCAGCATGCAGGAGATGAAAGGAGCCAGAGTGCATGGTCTTGTGGCATCTGGAGTGGTGGGGGTGGCAGACTCAATCAAACCTCAGCTTGGTTTAGTGTGAAGCAGAGATCAGCCTCCACTGCAGAGAGGACCTCAGCTGCTGAACTTGCTGGCGGAAGAGCAGAGCAGCTCTGACCCCACAGCAGCCTCCAGAGAGAAAGCCTATTGAAGATGTCAGACCAAGAAGTAGTCAGGGCTGTGGTGATAAGCTGAGTTCCCTGGCAGTGTGGATAAGAGGGAAAGAACAGGAATCCTTCAGTCCAGATCTGTCATGACCACTCTCCTCTCCTCTGGGTGGTCTGTGGTAGGCAAGCTCCTGCAAGACTTTCTCCAATGCCCCAACAAAGGGTACGGTAGGAGAGGTGAGGAGGGTATGCACCAGTGCTGATGTGTGATACGAAACTAAGCACTCTGCTCGTGCCCAGTAAAGATCTTCAAGGTGAAAAAGATGCTTGAAGGAAAAAAAAAGACTCTGGCAATTATTGCTGGCTTTTGGGGTCATTTCAAGAGACAAAAACCTCATTCTGCTCCCAGTGGCTTCCAGCTGGGACAAGTTACCTCTGTACCTAAAAGGACCCACTTTCGCAACACGATGCTGCACGAGTGATGGGCAAAACAAACACTCTAGAGGACCAGGCAGTCCTGAAAATGCTGCGCTTGGCCAGGTATTGCTCTCTGTGTACTGCCACAATCTTGCAGAGGCTTCAGCTTCTTGCCCCCTCTCCAGCCCTTCTTTACTGTCTCAGGCAGACTCTCTATATCACATGGTGTAGCAGTGGCAGAACCAGCCCCCTCCGTAGCCTCCTTCCCATATTTCCAGGTTTCTTTCCCTGTATCCTCCCTGATCTGACCACAACAAGAGCAGACCTGGGGGTTGATTTTCTAGGGGCTTCCTGTGGCTGTTTCAATGCCTGCAGGCACAGCACAGGGGAGCATGCGGCTCGCGGAGCGGCTCGGCTTTCCTGATGGCGGGGGACGGCTCCATGGGTGAGCTGCCACCTCTCTCGCAGTGGGAGGTCTGTTTGGGGAGCGCTGTGGGTGCCAAACCAGACATTATGAGATCCAACTTTCCAGTGAAATTCAGACTTTTCTCTAGGACAAAAAACTTGAAAAAACATGGGGAGTGGGAATAAAAACAAAACAATAGCCTTCAAAGACTTGCTTCTTAATGCAGTTAAAAGCCATAGGCAGGAGAGAAAGCAGCCCAGGAAGATCTGCAGCGAGCACAACCGGTGGGTGCACAGCCCAGCCCACGCTCAGGCTGACTGCAGCCTGACATAACGGACAGTGGGCAGGGAAAAACCAGGACCTGGAAGATGCAGGTTTACTACTGCAGCCAGAAAGTCCTCCAAACCCCTGCAGAGAGGTGACCTGTAGCTCCTGCATAGTAGAGGCGAGGGTGTCTGTCACTGGTATGAGCTTCTCACCGGTATGAGCGCTGCTGGTCATAGAGCTGTGTGGTCTCAGGGACAGGGAAGAGATGGAAGAGGAGGGCTCTGACCCCCTTGGGGCAGGTCGCCTCACCATGCCTTCAGAAAAAACTCTCTGCTACCAGTTTCCTTTATTCCCACATGCCTGAGGAGAGTCAATGCTTCAGGGAAACCAG